ACGGAGAGGAGGAAATCTGAAGGAGACACTGACTTCTCTTGGTCTCTCTGGCATTGGAACCACTCTATGCTTTTTCAGCCCTGCCGCAAAACTGAGTTCCTTAGAGTACAAATCTTCTTGGAAATCTTTAAATACAGACAGTCCCAGAGGAGACTCCCTCTGATCTTTCCCCAAACCTGGCCCATCACCTCCATTCCAGAACAAGGAACTATGGCCTCCACTGTGAGAGCCAGAGGCTCGTGAAATACTTTTCTTGGATGCTGATCCCTAAGGGTCAAAAGGTCAAAAAAGGCCAAGCTTACCACCGCTTGCAGAATGCTCTCCTTCATCTTTAGAAGCCTGATTTCCAGATAGTTCACTGCAGGGCCCTGGGAACTCCTGCCTGATTACCTGGGCTATAAAAATGTGGATTTAGCATTCTATCATAAAGACACATGCAAACGTATGTTTATTGTGGCACTGTTGCAATAGCAAACACTTGGAACCAACCCAAATGCCCACCAATGATAGACTGGATAAAGAAAATGTGGCACATATACACCATGGAATACTATGCAGCCGTAAAAAAGGATGCATTCATGTCCTTTGGAGGGACATGGGTGAAGCTGGAAACCATCATTCTCAGCAAACTGATACAATAACAGAAAACCAAACACCACATGTTCACGCATAAGTAGGTGTTGAACAGTGAGAACACATGGACACAGGAAGGGGAACATCACACACTGGGGCCTGTTGGGGGCTGGGGGCTGGGGAGGGGATAGCAGGGGGTGGGGGGATATGGAGGGATAGCATTAGGAGAAATACCTAATGTAGATGAGGGGGTGATGGATGCAGCAAACCACCACGGCACGTGTATACCTATGTACAAACCTGCATGTTCTGCACATGTACCCCGGAACTTAAAGTATAATTTTTTTTAAAATGTGGATTTAGGATCTAGCTGCTTCTATTGCTTTTCCACTTCCTGAAAGATGGGAGGGTAAAATCCAGGGTGAGACGAGGAGACTTCAAGTCTCACTGTATCCATTTTTCATACAAAATAAATGGAGATAAGAGGTGAGCTACCAGGGACTTGCTCCAGTAGCAAGGGGACGGAAGCACTCAGTCCCCGGCCCTAGATGAACAGAGCTTCAGTGGCCATGATTCCCTCTGCTTCACAGGGGGCCAGATTTCTGGTGCCACATTCTGCAACTGCCTCTCTGTCGGGCTTGTTAGGACCTCAGTGTCCCTTCGAGTCTGGCCCTTCCCACTTTGGCTATACTTCAAACCAGGAATGTGAGCTGGGCAGCTGGGGAGACATGTTCAGGACCCTGTAACAGAAGGACTTTTTTCTGTGTCCACTTCAGGGATGAGCAATTGCTGCATGACACCCATGACATCCGCACCCAGAACTGGGTAAGTGTCCCTATTCTGACAAGGTCCAAGGGAGATGGCACCCACCTGGATGTGGGTGTGCTTAGCCATGAATATAGCTAGCTCTGAGCCTCAAGCCTTCAGAAGCCTGTGCTTCCAATACACATTTCTTCCAAAAGGGCAAGAAGTTCCCCACTCCCTGACCTGACTATCTTTACTTGTGATGAACTACAGAGCCTGGGCTTCCTCCTCCAACCTCGGCCCCATCAGAAATCCCTGGGATCTCAGGATCAGCCCTGAACCTCACCATAAGAGATTTTAAGAAATTATCTTAACTCAGTTGAGGGAACAAGGGAACATAGAATGACAGCTAGGAAAGGAAAGCTGCAAAGAAGGAATAAAGAATCAGGGACATAGGCTGGGCATGGGGTGGCTCACACCTGTAATCCCAGTACTTTTGGAGGCCAAGGTGGTTGGATTGCTTGAGCACAGGAGTTCGACACTGTGAGACCTGTCTCCACAAAAAAATACGAAATTAGCCAGGTGTGGTGGTGCACGCCTGTAGTCCCAGCTACTGTGGAGGTTGAGGTGGGAGGATAATCTGAGCCTGGGGAAGTCAGGACTGCAGTGAGCCATAATCGTGCCACTGCCCTCCAGCCTGAACAACAGAGCAAGACCCTATCTCAAAAAAAAAAAAAAAAAAAAAAAAAAAAAAAGAATCCGGGGACTTAGAAGAAAGTTATAAAGAAAATTAACAAAAGTTTGAGACCCCAGTGCCCTAATATTGGGACTTTCCCTTCCATAACAAGATGAGGAGAAAAAAGATCAGGCTACTGCAACACAGATTTAAATTAGACATTGGGAGGAAAAACTTTTCAATAGTGCAGCTGAGAAATAGAACTAGGTAGTCAAGAAAGACAGCAGCACTATGTTCCTCAGAGAGCTTTAAAGATAGTGTTTAAAAAAAAAAATTAACTTGCCATGTTATGGTTTTTCCCAAACCAGTAAATGGAAAAGGTGAACTCCTTAGATTCCTGTTTGAACAGAATTTGTCTCTATATCAGAAAATTGACTCTCATGAAATAAAGCCATTCTTTTTAAAGAAATGGATTGCTTAAAAAAAAAAAAAAAGAAAAAAGAAATGGATTGCTATGCTTTAACTTGCTCAGTGCTGAAACCATGGAAGGAATACGTGAAAAGTGATTTCATATTTACAAAACTCTAAATGTAACTATTGTAAATCTTTGCATATGAGGAGTGCTTTTGATTGGTCAAAATCCTTTCAGATATATGATATTATTTAATTTTATTATTCCTCTGAGTAAAGCAGGAGGAATTGTCCTGATGAAAACATGGGATGCAATAGGTTCCTCTCCTGAAGCCCACCCAGCATGGGCTTTTTCCTGTGAGCCACGCAACCAACAGGAAATTGCAACTTCCAGAGCCAGAGACGCCCATTCTCGGTGGAGTGTAATAATAGGATCCCTAAGGGTAGTGGAGGCCAGGGAGGGGACTAAAAGGGTAAGATATCTTTCCCTCACATGTGCACAACTTCCTCTTATTTGGCACAGAAGCATAAAGCTTCCAGACTCCTGCATGACCCCAAAGTTGAGAAGATTGCAGTTCGGCACTAGAGAGCAGCCGTCAGGAGATCGTATCCACCACGTGAAGACACAGCTCTCCAGTCAGCTTACTACCCTGGACCCTAATTCTAGAACCAAGGAAGAAGGACATCTCTGCTTCAGCCAGGTGTTTTACCCAGGCAGCTTTTCCCCTGAGCTCCACCCTGCCCATCTGTGGTAGTCGGGAACCCAGGCCTCAAAGGTCCTCATCTATGGCAGGGCAGCACCCCACGAAGCAGGTGCAGTCGTACAAGGGGCAATGGGGTGAGAAGGTGGACAAGTGAAGGCAGGGCTAAGGCCAGGTTCTTTTGGTCTCTGTGATCAAGACAAAGAGCCAAATAGTGCATCAGGTGTGGATAGCGTTTGGAATCAGGAACAGACAGTTGTGGGATAAAGAGATGGAAAGGTGGAAAGTTTTAAAACACACTAATGGACGCGAGGCCCATCATTCCCTCTGGAAAGTGCTCTAGAAACGAATACTACTTTGGGGGCTTAATTCAGTATCAAGAATCAAACACAGTCTATCCTTTATAGACTCCCTCGTCCAGGTTTTCTTTCAGAAAGCACTTGAGTATGCTTCCCCAAAGGCACTGTTTAAGTGGCAGGCTGTTTCCTCAACCCCTTTCACTCTCCTGCTCCATAGGCTCATCTGACACCAAACTCACCTGAAGAAGAAGACTGCCTCAGGTGCTCACCCTGTGGCATAGACTATACTAGCCACGCCCTCTCTATGGCCTTCTCTAGGGCTCATTAGCTGTTCCTTTTAAGAAAGAATCTGGGTTATAGGTGATGGAGAAAATGGGTTTCATCTGCCTGTGCCTAAGTACAGTGATTCTGTATCTTCTTGAATAGCCCCCTTTGAAATATTTTATCCTGTTTCCCCCACAAATCATCAAAATACACAAAGTATTTCAGTATTTTAGCATTAAGATTATATTTTGCTGAATGTAATGCATACACACACAAAACCTAGATCAAAACCCAGTTTGGGTTCAGATTGTAAGGCAGGAAGCTTCCTTCCTCTAGTGTGATATGGACAGCAAGTGTAGGATAGCAAAGATGCTGAAGTGGAAAGTACACAGAGAGAATGTGGTCTCCACCTTAGTTCCTGTCGGATGTCTTGGGAGGGGGTCGCAAGGGTAGAAGCATCACCACGAGGACTGCCTGTTCTCAGGGTTTCCTGCCTAGTAAATTGTCTAGCAGGGAGGAAAATAAATTTATTTTATTCCCATCCATGTGACCGTGACATCTACAGCACAGCTTCAGCTGCTGGAAAAGGGAAAGATATTAGGCAGACATCATCACTGAACCTAGAAGAGAGCGTGGTGCCCATCAGTGAAGATGCCAGGGTCTACGGCTAAAACTGGAAACTGAGAAATCACATGAGACCCAAGCACATTCCAACCACCAAAGCAAAGAAACCAGCAAACAAACAGCTGATGAAATAAATGTGACATAAAAGACCTGCCCTCCTGGTTCTTCCTAGGCTGTGGAATGAGTAGTGACAGAATTTCCAAGTGTGATACCGCATTTGCTTCAAAGAACAGCACTATAGCATGGGAGAACCTGCACTATTAGGTCATAAACTCATTCTGACTTTGTCTAAGTTTTCCTTCTTTGTGGGCCTCAGTTTCCTCTCCCATAAAATAAGTAGCCATCACTAGAAAATCCTGAAGGTGCCTTTCATTTCCAATATCCTTTGATTTGGATGATCTCACAGTCTACCATTTAAAGACAATTCTTCTCCCAGCCTGTGAAAAGACCTCCTAGTCCAATAATATTTCCTGCAAGAAAGGACTATTCAGGATATTTGTCAAAGACGGCAATCTTTGCGTATATAAATGCACACATTACATGACAGGGAAAGTAGAATTTTTATTTCTTTTAAACAAATCGGAACAAATGAACATAACATATTAAATATTATACAATATAAAATTTAACCCCAGGAATGGGAATTGGTCACACCACCAGCAAAATAATCATCAGAACAGCATGGGGAGAAATACCAGATACAGGTGATGGGGAGGAAGGCAGCACATCACACTGCCATGTGTGTACCTATGCAACAATCTTGCATGTTCTTCACATGTACCCCAAAACCTAAAATGCAATTTAAAAAATCCTGTTTGCCATAGATCGTCTAATAAATAATACCTTACAACTTAATAATAATAATAATCAGAACACATTATAGCAAAAAGGTAACTTTTTAAAAATCTTCACCTTATAGATGTTGACTTGGCATTTGTTAAAATACAAATTTTAATTATTTAACACTTTAAATTACCTGATAAGGAGCACCATAATTATTGGATTATATTGAAAACAAAAACCAGACAAGTGTGCCCTCTATTTTCATGCTAGCTCAATAGTATTAAAAGTATTGTCAGTGTTTTCCATTTCTTTATTTTATTTATTTATTTATTTATTTTTGAATCAGAGTTTTGCTCTTGTCATCCAAGCTGGAGTGCAGTGGCATGATCTCAGCTCACTGCAGCATCTGCCTCCTAGGCTTAAGTGATTCTCCTGCCTCAGCCTCCTGAGTAGTTGGAATTACAGGTGCACACCACCATGCCCAACTAATTTTTGTATTTTTAGTGGAGATGGGGTTTCGCCATATTGGCCAGGCTGGTCTCAAACTCCTGACCTCGTGATCCACCTGCCTCAGTCTCCCAAAGTGTTTGGATTACAGGTGTGACCCACCCCACCTGGCCCCCCAAATCTAATTTTTAAAGGTAAGTTGGAAATGTTGGTTTTACATGAAATCTCTGGATTTTTAGATGTTGGTCTAAATTTTTTTGTAAAAAGCACTCTGCAAGCTGAGCATGTCATCAGGCTACATCTGGGTCCCAGGCCAGCAGCTTAGGACTTCTGTTCTATTGCACTGCCCCTTTATTTTCTCCCCTGCTCTTGGCACAATTTATACCTTGTTTATTTATTTACTTGTTTTATTGCCTGTGCTGTATCACTGTTGTATTTCCAGTGTCTTACACAGTGGCTGGCACAATCAATTCTCGATAAATAAATACTTGATGTTGGATTAGACAGGGAGTCTGGCTTGGTGCTTTACTTAGAAGCTTTTTATATATTCTAAACATTGCATACATGATTTATACATATGAATATATCAGTCTGTATGGGTTTATATATGTGTGTATATATGTGTGTATATACACACCCATCTATATATGGCAAATATTTTCACCCAGTCTCTCTCTTGATTTTAACTTTTATGATGTGTTGGCCAGACTGGTCTTGAACTCCTGACTTCAGGCAATCTGCCCACCTCGGCCTCCCAAAGTGCTGGGATTACAGGCATGAGCCACCTCATCCAACCCAGTGTTTTCCATTTCTAAAAACACTTAAATGTAAAATATAAGCAAGATATTTTATACAAATGGGTAGTAAAATTCATCCAGAAGCATAAGACAAAATGTCCAAAAACAAATCAAGGTATTAATGGAGTTACCTTCAAATATTAATGGAGTTACCTTCAAATTTTTACTTCTCAAAGTTGCAGCCAGTGAAATTATATTGTATCATATTATAAGGCAGAGGTAACGAGTAGACTAGAAATGCAATTCATGATCCAGGCATGTTTCAGCCTGTGATAGCCAAAAATTCCTAATCAAGAAGGATTGGAAGGGCTCATTAATAAATGATATTGAGGCTGGGCACTGTGGATCCCAGCACTTTGGGAGGCTGAGGCAGGTGGATCACCTGAGGTCAGGAGTTCACAACCAGCCTGGCCAATATACTGAAACCCCATATCTACTAAAAATACAAAAATTAGTTAGGCTTGGTGGTGGGCACCTGTAGTCCCAGCTACTCGGGAGGCTGAGGCAGGAGAATTGCTTGAACCCAGGAGGTCAAGGTTGCAGTGAGCTGAGATCGTGCCATTGCACTCCAGCCTGAGCAGCAGAGCAAGACACTGTCTCAAAAATAAATAAATAGATAAATAAATGATATTGAGGAACTTCGTTCATTTACAAAGAAAATATTGTCTATTGTGAGTCAGACATTGAGCTTAAAGAACATAGAGATAAAGAGATAAAGAAATTACAACTGCCACAATATCTCCAGTATGAATGGCATTAAGTGAGGGAGCACTAATGTCACAGGATCATCAAGGATGATCCAGGACACCAACCGGAGCAACTGGGTGAAAGGAGGCAACACATTATTAGAAACTGAGACAACAGCCGGGCGTGGTGGCTCAAGCCTGTAATCCCAGCACTTTGGGAGGCCGAGGCGGGTGGATCACGAGGTCAAGAGATCGAGACCATCCTGGTCAACAGGGTGAAACCCCGTCGCTACTAAAAATACAAAAAATGAGCTGGGCATGGTGGCGCGTGCCTGTAATCCCAGCTACTCAGGAGGCTGAGGCAGGAGAATTGCCTGAACCCAGGAGGCGGAGGTTGCGGTGAGCCGAGATCGCGCCATTGCACTCCAGCCTGGGTAACAAGAGCGAAACTCCGTCTAAAAAAAAAAAAAAGAAATTGAGACGACTGAGAAGAAGAAACTTTGGAGATGAAAACAAAAGTTTACTTTTGGAAATACATTTGAGAGTCTATAAGACATCAGAGCAGAGACTTCAAACACATTGTTAGATGAATTCGCACTGCAAAGGAAAGATTTAGGAGCTTTTTCAACCACCTAGTCAATTATACTTATTTGCTTTTGTTACCATGCCATCGTTCCTGGGCTAAGAGGTGGGGGAGATCTTCACAACTTTTACTTCCTAAATTTTAAGGGAAAAGAATGTAGCCCCTAGAGAGTATTAAGGACTTTTGGGGAGAAGGCCCATGGGAAGACTAGGACTTTGAAGGAGCCAGGACAATGGAGGAGAGCGGGTTTTACAAATCAATACTAAGACTGAATTGGCATGGGAGGCTTCCTGCTTTAGAGTGTGTATGGAAGTGTGCCCTTGGTGCACATCCTCATTGCCTAGGTCACCTGTCTGCAATACCAAGTTGATTAGCCTAGAATAAGCCTGAAAAAGTACCTTTCCACCTATTTCCTTATCAATGACAGTGACAAGGGAATCAGTATATCAGAAGTAACACATTGAAAATGTCATTAAA